GGGGAAGACTACTAAGCTCATTTACCAAGACTAAACCAACCATGACTCATTTATACATTGTAAGGTTATTCATTGCCTTCTGGATGTCCAGCGAAGCTGAAATGACACATCATATGGGACATTATGTAGGTTGGGTGACCCATTGTAAGAATGGTTGTGTCGCTGGGCTCAGACCCAGTTAATTTGATACTGGTGTCAAACAGTATTTGTCCGATGCACTTCTGACTACACTGATCTGAGTCCGACAGTCCAACGCATGTCCGATGCACTTCTGACTACACTGATTCGAGTCCAACAGTCTGATGTATGTCTGGTCCCGACCTGATGCCTGACCTGACATTCCTGTGCATAGGACCAGTCATCCCTATGTCCTGTCCAGTCACATCTATCCACATCAGGTGCACAGTTACTTGGTTTCACTTGCTAAACATTGTAGGACAGTGTTATTACATGTTTTCTCATTTTGAGTACAGAACATTCCTGCACTATGGACATAATCTGAAGCATGCAAAATATGCTGATATCCAGTTCCCAATCAGCTCTGTATTTTTCAGGTAACCCCTATGAAGTCCTAGATTAGCTCAGACAAAGTGCCGATTTACCCAAAGAATTTTGGATCAGGTTTGCTTTGAAATATATGGACTTTGATGAAAGAAAACTATAGCAGATGTACGATGAATGCATTGGTAACAGTAACAAAGATTTTGCTAACATGATTTTGGACTTGTACCCAGACTTAGGTATGGACTGACGATGTGTCCAAGATGACAGTCCGACCCCAATGAGTATGCCTGATCCGACATCCAAAAATTTGCAACCTGAAGTCTCTGACACCACAACCATCTCCGAACCTCAAGAACAATCCAAAACAGTATCAGAAACAGTATATCAGACAACAGTTCCCAACACCACAACATTTTAATATGAAATACCTGAAATTTTGGACATTACCTTTGGACACTCCAAATTTACTTCAGACAACTTGGAAACATTCACTGAAACCATTAATACTAATGTATTGACACTCGAAACACCGAGTATTGAGCTAAAGCCTCTAGGACGCCAAAATTCAGATCATATAATTCAGACATAGAAGATATTGATATAGGAGTATCAGACTACAAACCCAGACAGGCAGTATACCACTTGGATACCACTGACAATTTTGTTCTCGCAACAATCACTGTTTTAGCATTTACAAGTTTTGTTTCTATAGGACCACACTCCACAAGTCAGAATACTATCAGTCGCCTTCTGAAACCCCCCAAAAAACCTCTCCAAAGCACTCTAAATATACCCAACACATATCCGAAAGTTTGTGCTATAGTTTTACCCATCTGAAATTTGTCATACCAGCCCCAAAAATTCAAGTACAAACATTCTGTCAAAAGCTCCTACCAGTATCACTGACCCATGCACTCCCGGATCGCATTTGACATGTACGACAGCCAATGAAGATCAGATATTAGGAAGAAACTATAGTCCGACACCTGAAAATTTCAGACCATCTGAAACTCAAAAATTCAGACATATACATATGATATATTGCACATAACCCTGGCATGTTCGCAACATCAGACTAGCATATTGGACATATTTTTGGACACACTTTTAGACATGTTTTCGGACTATTGGACATTGTGTGAACTCACCTGATTATTTAGCATTTTACCTTTGCACTGCAGAATTGCACCTGTGCCATTAACTATTAGAAATTTGGACAATCTGGGCAACATAAACAGAAGAAGAATGAAAGTTGCATGAAGAAAAGAAGTCAGATGGTACTCTGCACCCAGTATTGTTTTGATATCCAAAAATTTGTGTTTTTGCCGAACTTTCAATTATTTTTTTCATGTTTTTTATTAGGCACCCTAGTGGGAAGACATATAGAGAAAACTTGCAACACAGACATAGGGACAAATGGACATTTTCGGACTTTGGACATTCAGAAAAGAGTCAGATGACAGATTGCTCATTACTTCTTACCAATTCTCATCTTTGTTTCTCACTTCTCACTACTTCTCATCACTTCTCACTCCACTTATCATCATTTTTATCACTTCTCTCACTTTTTCTCATCTTTGTTTCTGACTTCTCACCACTTCTGACTTAACTTCTCACTACTTCTCATCACTTCTCACTCCACTTCTCATCATTATTGTCACTTCTCTCACTTCTTCTCATTTTTGTTTCTGACTTCTGACTACTTCTCATTACTTCTCACTTCACTTCTCATCATTATTATCATGTCTCTCACTCCTTCTCATCTTTGTTTCTGACTTCTTACTACTTCTCATCCTTGTTTCTCATTTCTTATTACTTCTCATCTGTGTGTTCAAGGCAAATCTGGGGTATCAGAAAAGAGTCAGACAACATACTTCTTACTTCACTTCTCTCACTTCTTCTCATCTTTATTTCCCACTTCTTACTTAACTTCTCACAACTGCTCACTTCACTTTTCATTACTGCTCATTACTTCTTACTAGCTTCCTCTGGCCAAAGCCATTTTGCAGGATCAAAGTTTAACTTATCCGCTTGCACTTGCGTGAGACAGATACCTGGAACAAAATTTGGAGGGTGAGCAGGTCCCAGAATTAGTCCTATTAAGGGATTGGGCGGTAGTTCATGAATGATGCAAGTACACTGCGAACTTTCTTAGCACACACATTGAATGCGGCAATGTTCACAGTATAAAAAGCTGTACAGGACGAGGTTAGATGCGTGTATAGCGTGGACTGTGGAAGAGAGAAATCAGAGTATGAAAATGAAATGGGGACAGGATATGATGACAACAACAATGAATGTGGTGAAGTGAGATTGCTCCTTGAGAGCAAACAAATGTGGTTTTTGTCGCGTGCATTGCACAATGCGAGTGAAGAAATATTAGTGAGATATGAATGAGAAAATGAGTGTGATGGGTGAAGCGAGGAGCACAAACACTCTATAGTGCTGTGGATCATTGATACTTAAGAATCCTGACCCTCAACCTTGGTGATATTAACATGTAAGTGCATATGCATTGCTTTGCCACAAGGCGCACCATGAACCACTACCTGACAATTTCTGACCCAAGGGAGGGTTGGGATGCGCATTTCTTTGTGTGTGTTTGGGTCTGTCAATAAAATGTCCTGCTCCCCACTAGGGAGATCAAATGTGCGACACAAAGTGAGCATAAAAAATGGGCATCCAAGCAGAACCTCAAAGTTCACGCACTCCATTACCTGAACTTGGAAGTACATCGGACCTCCTCTGTAATCAAGCATGATATTCTCGATGACTCTGAGTATAGAGTCATGCGACATGTTGACAGACTCCATGCGCATGCAGTGATCTGACCACAGTCCTATACCAAATGATTGCTATGTCTGATGCATTCCTGATATTGAAATCCCAATCCCAATGCCTGACCCTGACCCAAAAGTTTCAGACCCATCATTTTCACATCAGACTTGTTCTTCTTATGTCCTGTCCAGTCATATTCATTTCCACTGGTGTGTATTTACTTGTTTTTCACATTATTGAATATTATAGATAGAGTTAATACATGTTATCTACAAAAGGTGCAGTACTCATGCTCTTTTACATACATTTGGACCTGATTTTGTGCTACTGTTTTCGCCTAATGCACTTTGAAATTCTACATAGACACTATATAATATCCAGTACTTCCTACCCATTACTTTACTTACTTTTTCCTACTCAGTAGTCGGATGGAAGTCCCTGGATATTAGTAAGTACTTGATTGTATTTGTGAAATATCTATCTGCTATTTTTCTCCAAAACATTCTAAAACACTTGACACTCATTTGACTGACATTCCAACACACTCCTTTACCATCTGACACATCGCCGACCATCCAATGCCTGAGCCAACTCTGAAAATTTCAGACTTGACAGTTTCTCCTTGGACAAGTAGTTCCTAGCTTCAGATCGGATTATCTTCCTTTTATTGATAAATAACTATCTAAACTGATACCAAACAGCTACCCCTATAGGATCGAATGCACTTGCCTTACAAGTATAGCAGCATAGGTTGTGCTGAAGATCTACCTACAAATTATTGTATAGGTAGTAACATTCTGCTGAGCTCAGCAGAAATCTGCTTCTTACACTGAATGTGGAAATAAGCTATGTATAAAATATGAATGGATAGTGCAAATAGAAGTCTGAGTAGATCCAATGTCTGGATGTCAGATAGATATGTTGGAATAAGAAGTAGTAAAAAATGAAGTGAGAAGTCAAGTGAGATGTGATGAGAAGTAGTACAAAATGAAGTAAGAGGTGATAAGAAGTAGTCAGAAGTGAAGTGAGAGATAATAGGAAGTAGTGAGAAGTGATGAGAAGTAGTAAAATAATGTGAGAAGTAGTGAGAAATGAAGTGAGATGTGTTGAGAAGTGATGAGAAGTAGCACAAAATAAAGTGAAAGGTAATAAGAAGTAGTGAGAAGTGAAGTGAAAAATTATAAGAAGTATTGAGAAGTAAAGTGAGAACAAAATGAAGTCAGAGGTGATAAGAAGTGGTGAGAAGTAGTGAACAGTGAAGTGAGATGTAATGAGAAGTCGTAAAAATAATGTGAGAGGTAATAAGAAGTAGTCTATTGTACTTCTCACTACTTTTTTCACTTCACTTTTTATTTCATATTTTACTACTTTTTATTACTTATTATTTTGCTTTTTACTTCACTATTTTTTTGCACTTCTAATCATTTTTATTACTTTTCTTACTCCTTTTCATAATTCATATTACTTCTCAATACTTCATACTTGACTTCTATGTTACTTGTTACTTTACTTCTTGTTACTGCTTATTACTTCTTACCAATTCTCTATAGAATTTTTGACAGTCCAAGTGCACGATGAATTGGTTGCAAACACGTAAGGCATACAAAAATAACACTACCGTATGTAATACCGATGATTTAAGGTTTAAGCCACCTTCAACTTGTTCTGCGTCAAACTCAATAAGGTAATCTAAATCCAACATTCTCATCATTGTTTATCACTTCTCACTACTTCTCACTTTACTTCTTATCATTTTTATTACTTCTGGAGCAGAAAAAAGTTAGATGATAGATTGCTCATTACTTTTTACTAATTCTCATCTTTATTTCTGACTTCTCACCACTTTTGACTTAACTTCTCACTACTTCTCACTTCTCATCATTTTTATCACTTCTCTCACTCCTTCTCATCTTTGTTTCTGACTTCTCACTATTTCTTACTTGACTTCTCACTACTTTTCATTACTTTCTCACTTCACTTCTCATCTTTGTTTCTGACTTTTTACTACTTCTCATTACTTCTCATTACTTCTCACTTCACTTCTCATCTCTGTTTCTAACTTCTTGTTACTTCTCATCACTTCTGACTTCTTATTACTTTTTATCTATGCATTCAAGGCAAATCTGGGGTATCAGAAAAGAGTCAGATGATACACTCTTACTTCACTTCTTCTCATCATCATCTCCCACTTCTCACTTCACTTCTCATTACTGCTCATTACTTCTTACTAGCACATACCTAAAGGGGAGGTCTTCAACACAGTAGAGTCGGCTCAGCAACAAAAACTCACTTGTAATATGATAGTGCAAAATTCTGGCTGATGAAGGACATGTGTGATGACTGTCAAATTTTTCAAATTAGGATGTCAAAAAGGGGCTCCATCAAGTTGAATCTGCAGCATGACAGCATCAATGCTCAAACAAAGCATATAAGGTTTCCAAATTTGAACACCATGTGACAGAACGTGGCTTTCATATGAGCCTGCCATATACTGTCCTGTCTTACTTGATAGAAAACAACCACCTTAGCCCATATATCTATATGATATGTATTTGGGCCCACCCATGTACACAACATCTCACTACATCAGTCAACCCATTCATATAATATATAATAAACCGCTAAAGATGAGGAATCTATACTGCAAGGACAGTTGGTGCTAAACCAAAGAAACACAGATAGTCCTGGGTGCGAGTAAAATATTGACCCAAGGGCAGCTGTCTGAGTCAAGGGAAACCTCTCTTAGAAAAAAGAGGGACACCAAACTACTACTAGGGTAATAGGACTTGGGAATGCGCAAAGCGTGAGGTGAGAGCGATGCGATGAATGATATGCAGATGCATGTGATGATGCACAAGTGAAAAAGGCGAAGTGCGAGATGCATGACGCGAAGGTAGCATGAGCGAGCGAGAGTGAGATATGAAAGAGCAAGAGATATGAAGTGAGACCACTGATATCACCCCAACTAAGGTTGGCTAATGATAAAGCAAAGGGTGGACTACTAGCACATGAGACTTAGATAGTCACTGCAAACAACAAGTAAAATTCTCCTGTAGCTAAGTACACAGAGAAAGTGGGTGGAAAATTGACCCCAGAACATAAGTAATAGAGGGGTATAAGTAAAATAAGTAAGCACCACTAGGCATACAGGTCCAATATGATGAGCTGAACAGGCTATAATTAGTACGTGAAGTATGTAATAGGGTCTCGGCTGCACATAAAGTGCAAAGCCAAGCATTAGCAATGGAAAACAATTAGACGAAATAGAAATATGATGGGAAAAATGCATCAATGGACTTCTAAGGACATGGGAAGGACGGGTAGACAGGTGTGTGGACAATGCCAGTACAGATGTGTGATGCACGCGAATGCGGGAGGCCATGCGCAAAACCTGAAAAAATAAAATATGTGTGCTAATGCGCCAGACGTATCCTATGGATTAGAGCTGGAGTTTGTAGGGAATGTGGGAGAATTTGGATGGAAGTGCATGTAGAAATGTGAATCTCTATACTGCTCTCTCAACCCACCTGTTTTGTAATATACTACCATATCAGCCCACCCATCTATACATCTCTCTTCAGCCCAGCTTTCTATAATATACATGTCCATCCTACTCTACATATCCCCCAGATGCGTCCACTCATCTCCATCAGTAATAATATTCCTTCTGGCCAGTCCGCCATTATCAAGGATATACATAATATTGGCCCATATTCCGCTGACCCATATAATATAGAGTTTGTCACTGAAGGAGCTTAATAGAGCAAGGAACAATCACTCAGATGAATTCTAGGCAAAAATTATGTAACTACTCATTCCCTTCGGAAACTATTTAACTTAAATTTATAGATAACACTTAACTTCTGTTAAGATGTTTTCATGATATTCTTGTCAAATTGTTATAACTAAATCTGTCTATTAAAGTGAACAGGTGTAATAATTGAGCACCCTGGTATATAATATCTGATAGGGGGAGGGGGGGTATTTTGCAATAGGTCTACTTCTCACTTCTCACCACTTCTCCTCACTTCACACTACACGTTTCACTACTTTCATCACTTCTCACGACACTCTCAACGACTTTCCTCACTCTCACTGCACTTCTCCTTTCATCACTTCACACTACACTTCTTCATTTCAATCACTTCTCTGACACGTCCTCATCACTTTCACTACACGTCTCATCACTTCTCATACACTTCTCACTACTTCTCAATACACTTCTCATCAATTCTCATTACACGTCTCATCACTTCTCTGACCTTCTCATCACTTCAACTACACTTCTCATCACTTCTCACTACTTTCTCATCACTTCTCAATACACTTCTCACACATTTCTCAATACACTTCTCATCACTTCTCACTTGACTTCTCACTTCTCACATTTTACTTCTCACTTCTCACTTTTTCACATCTCATTTCTCACTTTTCACTTCTCACTTCTCATGGTTCTCACTTCTCACTTCTCTTTATACCCCCCTCCCCCTTATGGGGGATTATACTATTAAGGATCACGAGGGCGTAGGAAAAATTCAAATTCAACAAACAAACCTCAGAGAAAGGGTAGGAATAGATCCCCATCTGTGGCTGGAAGACCAGTTGTATTTGCGAAAAAACAACTTATACCCAGAAGGAAGGCAGGGAACACATCTCCACAATTGCACAAATACACAGTCGAAGACCTTGTGTCCGAGGTTCATAAGGACAAAAGAAACATCAAACACCATGTAAGTCATCCAAGCATATTTGATGAGTCTCAGACGAATTCATCATATAGGTCCGTGCATTTCTCCTCGATCCACAGAGGGATGACTTCATCAGCAAGCACATACAATCACATCATGATGAAATGTTGAAGGTTGCCAACGTTATTGCGTCCCTAATGTGTACGGCAAGCCTGCCTGACGATGTTCTTCCAGGAGCATTATCATTGATGTCCATTGACTTGTGGCTGGCTGACATCGCAAAGCAGTGCAAAATTGCGACAGATAGCAACAAGCTCACGCTTCCGCCATTGGTCAGTTCTACTGCATTGCTCCTTTTGACTATGCTGATTACGTGTGGTGTGCATGCGCCGACCAGGCTCATTGCGTTCTCCTCGAATTGTCCACTCTCGCTAGTAAAGATAAGAATTCAGTGCGCAATACATTGCAGGCTAGTATCTGGGTAAATATCTCAGGATGGCACAAATTATATTCACCTGACACTACTGACCGAACTATTGCTCAGGACAAGAGTAGAGACAGCGTTTTGAACCCGGTTGTTCTATATTTGTGCAAGCTACGCGGATCTCAGCCTGGTGCAGATGACGCCTATGAATGTGGATTTAAGCTTCTAGCACACATGATGCAAGACAATCGGGTGCAGATTTGAATCATTGCAGGAGAGCACACCGACTCTTCTTCGCTCATCCATCCACGAGACGGGGAGCTTCCCCTCACTAGTGTTCTGTAAATCCATCATATATACATCTATACTTTCATTTTCTCGGGTAATGCAATGAAACTAATTAATTAATATCATACACCTGCACTATCAGGCAAGTGAAGCCAGACATCGCCTTGAACAGGTCCCCAGTGTCGACCACACAGAGTCGAGATGAAACATTTCCTACACATCATAGAGATTCGGCGTTTCTGATTTAGACTCTCTAGGAGCCAATCACAGTGAATGGTCATTGCAAGTTCAGAGCAAGTATACAAATATGATCAGTCTCATGTAGCACCTCCACCGCCGCAACACGACATAGACAAAAACACAGGATTATCTGATCGCCCAGAGAGCTATGAATGCAAACAAGCAGCTTGTTTCCATCAAAGTACGTCACCACGGAGGCAATATTATCCATGCGAAAAATCAAGGATGAGGCTTGAACTACCATGCGCAATCTTTGTATCATAACAGTGACGATGCTATCAGCGATGTGCCATACATTGAATGCATACGAGGAAAGTGTCCACCGTCACCCGTTAGTGTCCTGTGTTCACCCAACAACGCAATGCTCCAAGAAATGAGACAGGTCAGATATGCATCTCGTGCCGAAGACACTGCTAGATGCTAGATCCTGCATGATGGTAGCCTTATATGGTAGTTGCGTGCATCGCCCGAGAGATCGCGACTCGTGGAGATGTTGATTATTCATATTTCATATTTCATGACGGGGATGGCAAACAGCGAATGGACGTCATCACTTTGGCAGGCGATGTGTCCTATTGACCACGACATGTCGTGCAGGCCGTACTGTAACAAAATGTAATCAAGCTTGTGCAGGCATATTGGGCGCAGATACATGTTCATATCCATACGTCTTGAAATTCACCACCATGCAGTGAATGAGTGAAGACATGGATGATTAACCTGAAGATCAAAAATACAATCACCAGCAACAATCACGCTGCGTGATGAACTTTCCTCGTTTCTTGTATGTCGTGCTGTGTGGAGCACACCATTGGAAGAATATACATCTTCTGCACGATTTCGGGGAGAACTCGAACAATCTGACATGCGAACAAAACTTCCCTTCATCCATTATCTTATTTGATGACACTCGTATCAATTCTCCATGGCTGCTTTCAGTGGGCAACGTCGGTATTTATCCGTACCCTTGCAGGGCATTAGGAGACAGGTAAATGTATATCTTTGTACACAGATATAGCTAATTGCGTGAAGGATAACGAGCTAGGTGATAGCTCCTTTGCATCCTACAAGCAATTTGTAATCGAGGAACATGCAGAAGATTCGCTCTTCAAAGCAAGCGAATCCAGAGCATCCGGTTTGTGCCGGCGGACTAGACTCCACCGAACAGGTTGGTAGTACTTGTGAAAGTAGGATACTTGTTGGTGAATGTCCACGACATTGAGGCACCCATAGGGAGCGACACCAAGCGAGAAGGTGATGGTAGAAAGGAAAGAAAAAAGCGGACGAAACTCTATTTGAACTTGACAGCACGTGATGTTCACACGCCACCAACTTAAGTTTCGTGGAAAGTCGGTTAGTTATTATTCCCGTTACGGCAGTCTCAACTTGGAGGTTTTGCGATCTGTCCACTCCGGCCCTAAACACAGCACGGACACCGTATTTTCCACGTGCCATCCGTCCCCGCATGAATGTCAGAAGCACGTATAACTTATACCACGAAGCTTTCGTAACAAGCAGGAACAGCATGTATCTGGCATCCAAAGAAAACTCATATGTCAACTTTGCCGTTGTAAAAGACTGGATTGAATTATTAACCAGGTAAACAAGTGCAGACACAGAGGATGTGAGGAATACGGATGTGTATGGTCAAACCATTAACGAAGCTCAGCATAGCACTGCTTTCTCACATACTGGGCAGCGATAATGGACAGGGTCTTCAGTATCAAGCCTTGGCGCACACGGCCATAATCTGTCCTTCCATCCATTTGGGAGTCTTCCAAGCGTCTTTGACTCTTTCAAGAGCAAATTTCCTTCCACAAACCTCGATGAATTTCCGACCACCCCATAATGACCCCCTCTCGAAATTGGCATCGTCAGAGCCTCAAGGAACTCTTTGTCTAAGTGGACATTGTGGAATGCGGGCGATAGATTTGTCCGAGGAGGTGTGTCCACCTTACAATTTAGACCTTCTAGACAGGTACGATTGAACCAGCATGCACACGTCCTGCAGTATCGCTGTTCGACATTGGGGAAGTAGAGCCCTCTCGGAAAACCACATCGACTACAGCCGCATAGCGTAGGCTTGTTATGTTGCATGTCCTAGATATGGGAGATGTATGCGACTGAAGTGGAACAGAAAAAATATAATGTACGTACGCGAAGATGCGCTTTCTGCAGCTTGCCGGCCTTGAATGTGACTTCTATTTCCCAGCGACAATACAATTTAGCGGGTGGAATTTGAAGTTGTTTTAGGTCAGCCTCGTCGTATTTCTGGATGATAGCATGGTCTTCCAACAAGTGAGATGCAAAAAAATCAATCGTAAATATATCACATGTCTCTCACCTTCGATACAATGCATATCGACAAGAGACTTGTGGTCACTGCGGACAAGCTCATAGTCTCCAACGAACTCCGCAATGCTATGTTGATATAATCAGAATCATCGTAACAATGATAAACAAGAAGGGCTGACTCGATGCAATAATCCTCGAGGTCTATCCGTCTATAATACCACTGTAAGTTAACCCACGCATCCTTCAGTATAATTAATGAGTACCTCGGTAGTATGTTCATTAGTATAACACTCACTCTGGTGTTCGGTTGCACGTAGATATCATTGACCTTCCCATACCAATACTCCATGGCAGCAAGGCTTCCATCTTCAACTGGAACTACCCTTTGATCGTGTGGGAATATTGCCATACTAAATAGATGTAGGAATCTTCAGGAACAAGCGACTGAGAAAAAAAAATTATATCGTACTCGTCCCCCTCCTTGACTATCAAACGTTGAATATCGTCTCCTGCATCAGAGTCATCGCATGATGGATAGACCCCTGTTACATTAATCACAGTCGAGGGTCAAATATCAACATTAAAAATCAATTAAACACACATTCAATGGAGCTGTACTTCCGGAGTCGATGCATCTTCGGTTGACGTCGAGACATTGGTGGTAATGTCCTGCCCTTAGTATGGGAGACAGAGCTGACAATTAAAGGACGACAAGACATTGAGGCTGAGATGAGAACGCGGTCGTTTGTAATTGCGTCAATTTATAGGTGTTTCAAGTGTAAGCGTACCGAACAACGTACAATAATTGAACCCGCGATCGGGAGTTCGGAGAATTGAGATCTGCTTGTACTGCAAGTCCGCATATGAGTCGTGCCAATTGTTCCGAGATATCCCGTGAATGCTGTTCATATATCGTGAGGCGCATGCGAACTAGTCTTGAAAAAGTGGAACTGGCCTTGTAGGACGACTATATGTCGATGTGGTGTTGACCACCTTGAAATGAAGAAAGCAAGGAATATTGTTACTTAGCAATTAGAACGAGCCCGACACGCATATATGCCGCACTACTTGGCCTCTTGTGCTGTAAGATATAACAATGGAATATAACAACAATACGACAGGACTCGTTACTCGCTGTCCACCCTGCCATATTTACCATGTACATCTCACTAAGCCAAGAGATGCATAACATCCAACCGTCAATGCACGGTCAATACATCTTGAAGAATACATCTTGAAGAACAGTAACGATGCACGTGATATTAAATCGCATGTTCCTCATATATTACTATCAGCTTCTGTGCTCATGATATAGACGGCAGGCAATATATCATTGGCACTACCATCAGTCACGGTCCAATTCGAGAAGAGACCTCTATTGGATCCTGAATTTAATCTCTCCAATCACCCTTATTGCACGCATTCACTGATAAATTTGAGTGCAGGTAACAACAGAATGGTTGGACAATATTCCAAAGACGACTAGAACATGATGTATTTGTATCTCGAGCCAGGCGAATCAGAAAAGCCTTCATAAAGGTCGTTCTACATTTTTCATCTGCCATGGATGATGTCCTTGGTTTTCTTGAGTTACAGTAATCAATGTGTTCTTGGATACGCATCTGTTTGCTCCTGCTATTTCAGCGGAATTCCCACTACGAATTCCAATAACCTTCTATTTAAAAATGTTTATGGGTCATGTATGATAAATTTCAATGCCTGCCTGAGTTGCAGGATGATATAGAATTGGTATTGTGATTGTGATTCAGGCTGACATCTGTGGCACTGCGACCACGTCATGTGTTGGAGTACTTGCGGAAGCTAAGGAGAGATCAGTAATGGGGACCACGTTTCTTGGTCAGAATATCAGGCACAACTTCATTATCCATAAAAAATCAGTATAGTTTCAAGATACTGACATTCCATGACAATTTCTGGGCTTCACATAGTTCCTATGTCATCTCCCATGGCATGATGGTATCGCCCACCGAATGGTGTTAATATATCTCTCGAGAGTTACAAATTACAAGTGTAGTGAATGTGGCCTGGGAATAGTAGCTGACGGAGGGTGTCGTGGAATCTATTTTTTATAACCGACAATGAGCATGAAGCAGGAAATCCACTACTACTATGGGAGTTCTAAAAGGGTATTAAGTGCTATAGAATAGGTAGTATATAACTGATCATATGTAATAAGCCGTGGTTTCTCACTTCTCAACTGCAACTCCTTTTCAATCTCGTCCGTATATGCGTCACCTGGGACACTGTCAGCCCTCTGTGATTTCAGAAGGATCCAACAGCCATGAAGGAGTTGGCGCATTGCTGGGTCCACCACCTCGTAGAGGCATACTGGCTTCTGCTGTAGAAAAACAGACCGTCCTTGTATAATGTCGCAGATAGTATGGCCACCGAACAGTGAGCGATAGAGTCGTTCAATGCCACTTTTATTGCATGCATCCTCTTCAGAGAACCCTTGTTCAAAGGCACGTTTCATGATTGCATAGAACAGAACAAGGATAAAAGACTCCAGGTCATGGTGTACACCACGTCGAAGTTGTGCTGGACAAACTTTTCCCTTCTTGTTGACCAGGAGAATATTGTCCAAAAGTTCGCCAGCCATGAACAACGCGGTGCCCTAAACGTCGTGTGTAGTGAATCTTCGCAAGCTTCAAAGTATATAGACCTACAGTGATTTCTGCCCCAGGAGCTCTAGAATTCGAAACGCTTTCCTCGCGAAAGATGCACCTGGTGTTTTTCTGTCCCACTGAGGGAGCAACAGGTTCTAATACGTCAATTGTTTCGGTCTTCCCTTGTGCCATCCAGGCCAGCTCGAGGTCTGCAACGAACCCTTCCCAACCCTCAGCGCAGCCCGGCAGACCGATAAAGATATTCCCTGGACTCATGTCTCTATGAAGAATTCCCTTTATCCAAAGTGCTTGGTGTCCTGCGTGTATCATGATTATAATGGATAAGATAACCGAGTAAGATCAAACCTCTGAGTGCAGCCAGGGAGCCCGTAATGAAAATTTTACTTGTTTCGGCATCCCACAAAGGTCTTCCGACGGTTTTGAGCGCGAGACGATGGAGAACTGGATCATCACGAACGCAGGTGTCATCTTGAAGAATGGTAGAACGGAGCCAGCCAACTGTTACGATAGCATTTGCGTCCCTTCCGACAGAATGGCGAACGTCATCTCCAATACTCAGTGTGGCAACACCTGGCATAGCAGAAGTGATAGACCTGTAGACGTCGGATTCGCTTCGTCGGGTCTGCGATCTCCATAGGGTTTTTAATACGACAGCATCATTATGCTGCAGCGATATAGCTCGCCATGTGGCAGTGCCACGGCCTAGTAAAGACAAAGAAGACCATATGGGGGGGCCCACGGTTTTCCACCGACGAGTATCGGTGACTGAACTCATGCTCACCAAGAAGGAGGGATACTGCTCCTGGTAGTACGTATGCCCGTTTAGCAAGGTCGCCGTTTTGTCGTGCCCGAGCTGACATGGAGTCATGTGTGTAGTGAGCTGAAGCACTACGTTGATAAGGATGTGAAGATTAGTGTCAATGTGGTAATCGTCCGAAAGGATGACCCCTCTCCGGTCATACCATCCGAGGCAGAAGTTTGGCCCGTAAATGAAGATACATAGAACATAGAGGTGGAATGGTCGGGATGCCAAAATCAGCCTTGCATAATTGGCTCCCTGTGAGACTATTTGTCTGACTGTTGTTGCTGATGGCGCATTGGGACCTTTATTGAATGTACTTTTGACTTCGACAAACCCACAAATCTGTCTCCACTTGACCCGGTTGCTCCCCGGATCAATGCTGGGAGTCAGAGGCTCTGACGTTGGAGGTACTTCCATAAGAGCGAAGTCGGGTTTATTAACAGGAAAGGACATTTGTTCGGCATCAGGAACGTGTTCGCTCATTGCAACCAACTGCCGATACTGTGAGCGATTATATCCTGTTTTTGTCGCTACTGCACCCTCGATTATACGGAATATATTTTGCTGTAATATATACACCAATATGAGGAGTGTTCGGCTGGAATAGATGCATGCTCACCAGTTGAGGGTATAAATATTTTTCTTCGACTTTGTCCCGTACATTTTGCTGAAACTCCTTCAGGTCGTTTCCAGCCCTAATAGACTCTTCGATCGTTTTGACTACAGCATCGATACCAGTGATCGACCACGTTTCATAAGCTTTGATAGGCTTTTGTGATCGATACTCGATGTAACCAAGAAGATCCTGCTGATAAGCTGAGCGGGAGTCTCCTGAGCTGGCCCTGACTGCGGTATTATAGTTCTGTATCGAACCAGTGTGAGGTTTCACTGGTGTAACGTCAGTAGCCATTGGAAAGACCTGGGTGGTGAATATATGGGCACCAGGCCTGGCCGCGACGTCCTGGGGCTCCTATGACAGACTAGCGTGCCAACTGGAAAATTTTGAACAAAACGCCTGCGATGTGACATATGTGACACCGTCGGTGTTTCCCAGTGATCTTGTCCAACCCATACAAGAAAAAGTGTGAAAATATGTTACGTCAGCAGAAACTGTGGGAATATCGTTTCAAGGGTTCTGTCACCGAACCTCCAGTATCATAACTCGTTCCTGTATGCAAATCAGCAGTTACCTTGACCAACTGAAGTTCGATTGTCTTGCAATATTCCCGCAAAGCCTGTAATTATTGGTTTTCGTGCATATATGCAGCCTAAAATATGAAGTGTGAAAAAAACGATCAAAATTAGCTTACATATGCGTTAAAATTCAGCTGAGGGTCCTCAGGTGACGGTACAATAGAGCCAGGTCCAGGTGTAGTAGGTGATAGGGAAGAAAAGCCATAATCACTTCCCAACGTGGATTTTGCGAGCGATTTTGGCCCGAGCTGCCTTCTGCATAGTTAAATTGCCTGCCATTGGAAAACGGAGTGCTGCCTTCGAACATGCTGGGTAGTTCAGTGTGTAGTTAGAGTACTGTAGCTGTTCTGATGATGCCAATAATATTACAACTCCGCCGGACATTTCAAGTACATAGAGATGCTGTGCCGAACACCAGGATGGTCGATGTCAATTGGAGATTGTGGCGGATTACGAAGTCTCGTGAGTGCGTCTTCACACAGTCGTGCAAGCAAGTCCGTTAGAGATGCCCTCCGCAAGCTAAGTACAAACCCCATTGCATCCTTGATTTTTGGGAGAACCGCACTCTGTGCAAGCACCTCAAGATCAATGTCAGGCCTTTTCCTCCGTTCAAACTCGATATCACGAGGAGGAGACGGGCCAAGAGGAGGAGATGGGTTACGAGGAGGAGACGGGCCACGAGGAGGAGATGGGCCACGAGAAGGAGACGGGCCTCGAGGAGAAGATGGGCTAAGAGGAGGAGATGGGCCATGAGGAGGAGTCGGGTCATGGGGAGGAGTCAGGTCATGAGGAGGAGATGGGATACGAGGAGGAGTCGGGTCATGGGGAGGAGACAGCTCTCGCATAGGTGATGGCTGGCGCAAATGAGCATCATAAGTTGGATGCACTAGCTTAAAATAGCGTACCATATTGTTTTTGTCATCAAAATTATAGTTAATGTCCGCATCAGCGTTTCCTCCTTGTTGGCCAGGCTGCAGTGGCTCCACTAGCGGGGTTTTCGCCCGTTTTCGCCGTCCAATACGATCATTGTTGCTATTCTCTTGAGCTCGTTTTGCGAGTACTCTGATTGTAGCAGCACGGCAGGCGCCAAGAGGAAGCTGGGAACCAGAGGAAGTGTTCTGATCAGCATGTTGCCCACCTGTGATAGTAGAGTTATGAGCAGTAGCAGATAGTTGTATCGACACATTACCTTCTTTATGAAGTCGAATTTTCTGTCTCTCCTCCTCCGAACCAGCCTCTTGAAGATGTTGGTACCACGTCGACCTGGAAACTGGGTGCGGCCTGCCAAATCCGTAATTGCTACAGATGCACTCAAAATTCTCCTGGAGACTCGAGCCGGGCAACATTACTACTAGACGTTCAAGCGCAAGTTATTAGCCCAAGAGCTCAAACATAAATGTTAGTGGTATATACCTTCAAGTTGTTGTGTGAAGCAGCGGCGCAAAGTGGTTTCTATGGTGCGTTATGTTACGAAGCAGTGTACTTGTTGAGTCAAACCGTTGGCAATGCAATGCAACACGATGAACATGTGAAACGATTATCACAAAAACATAAACTACACGCAATCAGCACATTTCGTCACATTACATATATGGTAAATAACATCTCAACCTATCCGGGCTCATCCCGTCATAACCGGTTTTCACTGGGAACGTTCAAACCTAATGTCGATGTTATAGCGTGACGTCGACGTAATGTATAAGCCAGCGTGCTTACAGGTCCTCAGGTGATTCGAACACTTGAATGTCATATTTTAGGCTTCATCGACATGAGAGTATGGCACCACCGCTGCACGAAGGCCATACCACGCCAATGGGACCAATATGCCCATTACAAAAACAAGGCAACAAGCACATGTAATCAGGGCGACTTTTGATTGCTCGGCGTCCACGAAAGCACTTGCAAGAAATCCAATGCCAGACAATGCGATACTTCATTGGGTCTCTTGTGAGTAACAGTAAGGGACCAGAATCTAAAAGATGACTTGCCTCATCGCACAAAAGAATCCTGGTGCGCTGAACACCCCAATAACCACTACCATTCCTTGGTCTAGGTAATATGCCTGAAAAAATGACAATGTCAGACATCGCTGAAAAAAAATACAATCACACAAACCGCAAATCGCAGCGTTTTCAATTTTTCTCCAAAGTGTTGTGCAAGCATGCCTGCGAGCATGCAGCCCACACAGAAAATAATTGAACCCTTTAAAATCGAGTCTGCAACCACTCCTGTACCGACACCTTGAATGGACAAGAAACCAGCATCGATTGCCATGATGACCCCTGCCTGTCGGAGATGATTGGCTACCATAAAATTTTATGCGACCCGAAAATATTGCTTACCAGCGTTATCTGTGTTGTATTTTGGGAGTTGAAGTCATCAACAAAATTCTTGATGTCGAGGTAGTTGATGAGGCCGTCAACATAGATTTTGTTGAGGCGTTCGCGAACCAACACGGGAAGGCATAACATAGCAAGTGAAGCTACGGAAAGGAAAGAATTCCCTTTTCTAGGCCTGAGGCCCGTTGAATGGGATCGTAAAAGACGTGCCTCAGGCTGCCCATAGCAGTTTAGGTATTCATGATGACCTGCGTTGTCCACTTAGCGACAACACCTGGCAAGAGAGATGGGGAACATACGTAGCATGTGGTAAATCCTGGCTGATGGTAACGATATAAGTGTGCAAAATTCCTCATTTCACCAACAATTACTCACCGAACAATGCCACGCCTGGCTCAGATATTATTTCATCAGAACCTGCAAGTTCATCTGTTCTTCCGTCATGAGGATGTCATGAAGTAAAACCAAAAATATGTACCTAAACTCGCCAGTCTGTTGATTATTTTCTCCATTAATTCCCTGCTAGAAAATATGGTGGCCGAAGTGGAATTATCTAATGTCAATGCATCTGTGCTTCGATATGATCATCCTATCCAGCGCTTACATTTAATAGAACTTGCCTGCATGAAACCAATCGAGTTCAGCCCGAAGTTTTCTCACAAGGGAACGATGTAGTTTGAAATCACTTGGAAAGAATTCCACGTGCTTCCTGTCGAGCAGTTCCTGTGAATCAGTCATTGATGTAGAAATCCATAATTACTCACCAAAACTGGGCCTCGAGTTCCAGTCCTGCAAGACGTTCCAGTATCATGACAAATGCGTTAGAAGGTGACACACTTTTATGGTTCCATTCACTGGCAGAGTCGCATTCTCGAAATAAATGAGTACCATCCAAAGGTTCTACCCATCCAATTATGTGTGCATCCGGCGCCACCAGGTAGTATAGATAAATGTCGCCATCCACATTCTGAGTTCTGGCCGGCTCTGCAACGATGGTAAAATTACCCTTTACTCTGCTTCGTGTTTCCACCACCCAAGCCTCAAATTTCTGTAGCCGAACTTTCGAACAATCTCTTACATTGAATCCGGTGTATGTTTTCTATTGCTGTGAAGTGAGAATGCTATACATACATAATCAGCACTCACCCTTGTCCTATTGTAATAATACGTGGCTCCAGACGGGTGAATGTGCTCCTCCCATTCACCATATACATTGTCCCTAAATATTTTGGTGTAAAATTTTAACCGACAGTGAGGAATTCTACTGACCGAAATATGTCAAATTGCATTTCTTGCACCAGGAAGTCGGGAGTTGGCAGAAATGCCCTGATAAAGTTAGCTGTCATTCAATAATATTATTTACAGTAAATAAATAATAGGTACTCACCTTTCTGCACGTTGTGCGTACCGCCTGAGCTGTGTTGGCCAGGCAGGGGTACTTCGGTCAAGCGGAACCACATTCTACTCGTCAAATCCACTTCAGTTGTGGTCTGTAAATGCAACCCATTCGACTTACAGAGACCGACATTCTTAATTTTCTTCTTCGAATATCAGAAAAGTCGACTATAGAATGATGAATTGGGGTATGTCACAAGATAAGATGATCTTTTGTTGCGTATATAATATCAACATAGATGCCTTTTTGGCGCGCCAGAGGGTATTATGTGGCGTGGGAATACGACGTCTCACTCCTTGCGTTTGTCACAGCATACCCTGGCATCGGGTGAAAGTAGATCCTCTTCTTCAACGCCTTCATAGGCATATTGCTATCGTCGACAATCGCGCGATGTGACCGTTCTTTTTGCATCATTTTTTCGTGTGGCCAACTTCCATCGCCTTGCTGTCCCTCCTTTGGAGGGCTCTGAGCTGTCGCTCTGGCATGACGTGATAGGCGACTCTCGTGTTCAGCGCCTTTATGGGCGTATAGCTGTCGTTGACAGCAGCGCGATGTGCCAGCTTTTTTCAGTATTAGACTTTACAGCGTAATATCTCACCTCAACGATGCTGTGTGCAACATTTTTGGCTGGTTTCTGACAAATATTCGGTTGGCCATCCTGATCATGGAGAAACTCTTACTAACTCTCCGTTTGCGTGCCTCAGAGGCTGTATTTAAAACCGTTTTCGACACATGATAGAACCTCCTCTCTTCCCTGAAGCCCTTGCCTTGCATTCTCAGGGTCATCCTGATCACGCATTATCCCACTTTAGTCTCTTTTTGCCTGAAGAAGTGCTTTGCTTGGGCCGTAGTGCCCTCATCTCCTGATGTATCAGCTGCTATCGTGAGGCACTGATGTTACGCTAATTGGGTATCCACATTCCGGAACTAATAAATTTACCCTCGCGTTCAAAACCAGATGCGACAAATTGAACATCAGCGAAGATCTCAACGAGACCATCAATAGGTATCGTAAACGTCTCATTGTATGACTATATACAGCACCTTATAACTCTTTACAGTCTTAAATCGTGCTCCACTCTCGTTTCACGCGCACTCGGAAGTCGTGTCTGGCCACAGAAGGCTTATATGTCTCGTTACTGCGTCCAACACCACCCCACCAATTGTCGATACACCCTTCTGCAGGTTTTCCTCAACATATCCTGATGGCTATTGAATAGGCTCTCCAAGCCGAGATATATCAACATGAATCTGCCCTCGAAACATCTCAACTTTTCGACAACCACGTGATGACGGGACCTCATGGTATGAGGCTTCAACTGTTTTTGTGGTGCACACTCACTGACAATAGATGCAAGAGTATGTCAGGCAGTCAAACTCATGGAGCAGGGCCGTGGTCAGCAGTGATCGCTGAGCTCTCGACTCAAGGTTCCACCTCGAGTCAGTAAATATGAGACCGGCGCACAGTTCTTTGGAGCTGAGAAAACGCGTTTCAAATCTGTCCAGAGCTGCTGTTGATCGGGCAGCAACAGAGTGTAAGAGACTTACAAGGCGATGGGAAGCTGCAGTAGCCGAGATGCGTGGTTCTCGCGGTACCTACTCCCACCTTGATATGAAGCCCTGCAAACGGCAGCGTGCTAGGGCTCTGTCATAATACTCATTTCCAGTCAATACTCGTGGAGCGCAGTCATCGTGCTGAAGTCAGGAGAACCCCATCATGCTCCCTTGCCGTCCGTCACTCTCTCAGATCTGAATGACCTCAAGGATCGCTTTACCAGGACAATACAACACGCGTCTTGGATCAATCAAGCAGAGTGGATGACGGATATAATAGTACTCTCACGGACAATCAACGAGTTCACGTTGGCGAGTGCCATCATATACAGACATCGAGCTTCCACTCCTGCCATGGTCCATTAAATGGCTGTAATCTCTTTAGCCCTTTGTCCTCGCCATGCTATAAGTCGAGCATGGAACCGTGTCAGGATCACTTTCAAAATCGTCTTCGAGATCGCCTTCAGAGCTGCTCTCATAACCTGCGAGTTCGATAATGCGTTCGTGTGACAAGCAACGATGCCCTTCTGTTCAAATCGCTTAGGATAATCTATTGGCGATGCTTGCAACGAACCACTCACTGTTCTTAGGTTTCGGTAGTCTAATTGTTTCCTCCAGTAATTCCCATAATAACATATTCGTCCGCCCTAGACTATCCCACTTTACCATCACGGTAGACAATAGCACAATTCGCTCATCTTGGATTCCACATCCTTCCAGGAAAGATTCAATGCGACTGTGCGAATCTTCCACGTGAAACGCCAGTACGCAGAGGCGTGCATTACGGACCAGACGCGCGATTGCAGCTGGATGAGAACTACTCATTTGAAGCACCAGACATATGTGAGTTAAAGAATGAAGAGCCTCCAAACCTGTATCGGGTTTTCTGAGCACCCCTCTGTCGATGAGATCAACATGGGTAAGGTTCTTCAAAACGTGGGACGTGGTAATGCAGTTGATGAAGTGGATGCCCATGTAAAGCACCAAGGACTTGAGTGGCAGAAGATTCAAGGTGAGCCATAGTGATGATCGATCATCCATGGCCGGATATATATGAATCAATAGAGCAAGATGTTCCACACGAGTACAAAGCGAGAGGATGTCCAACACAGTTGACGCATCCACCACACCGTCGAGATACAGCGAGTTAATGGCTGTTTTTGCAAATTGAATGTGCATTGGTCGCAGGCGAAGACATGCCAGAAAGTCCTTGATTTCGTCTTCACTAGAGAGAGCGATGTTTTTATACATTAATCTTTCAAGCCTTCCACAATATTCAATCAATACAAAACCTTATTTTACGATATTAAATCGTATGCTCACCACCGGTGTGTCCTACGCGATACCCTCATTATTCTGGCGGCATCTGATGGGTAACGAATAGCAAGAGACAATATTTTTTGCTGTATTTCTAGTGGAAGTGAATGGACCATGACTGGGGGTAGTTCACGTTGGAATGTGCCACAGTGTGTTCAAATGTAAAACGAACGGCACAAAATTTGATACCTGTTTTATTACAAATCCAACAACACATGACGTCATGGTGGTTTAAAACGCCCATCGAATGTGAGGATTGGATTCACCACAACATATTTTACACACATTTAATTTATTGATGCTTAATACCATGGAAGAAGGGGGTATGCTTCACTTCTTTTTGATCCTTGAAACGAAATTTATTTCTAGATACATACAATGCAGTTATCGGTGCATTAGACAGCATTTCCGTGGAAGACACCTCCAAGAAACCCGTCAAGCTTTCCAAGTCCCGAATTCGCGAGAGAAAAAAGCAAGAGAAGATAGAAAAGCGGCGTGAATTGCGTCTGGCGGAGCAAAGGACGATTTGTACGTCCCACGAATTTTTTTTGTTCTATCCAATATCCTCGATAGTGTTTGCTAGATACCAGAGGGGAACCATGAAACAGAACAAGAAGAGAGCAGATCACGATGCGCGGTTAGCCGTAGAGCAAGAGGAAACAGGTACGTCACATAAGCATATTTCATCCCATCTACCACTAATATACTGGATCTGAAGGGCTTTCTAGGTCTGATATTTGCAAGAAAAAACGGAGAGAGAAGAGGAAAAAGAAAAAAGCATTGATTGCGGCAGAACAACATGCTAGTACGTGTCATGAATATCTTATATCCGCTAGTTGTAAGTGATGTCTAGAGAGAGAAGCCACACAGAAATTAGCAGACATGGAAGCGCTGTTAGTAGAGAAAGAGGCAGAACTACTTGCAGTGCGAGATGCAGCATACAGGGATGCATTACTCGCAGCAGAGAAGATTGCGTTTTTGGAAGAGAGAATGGATGATCTGCTTGTAGTACTAAAAGACTCATGTGGGGTATCGTGAAGACACCTTTTTTGGGATACAATGTTGGGCCGGCAGTCTCGCGACAGTTTGCATCTTCTTGCCAAGATACCACCAATGCTAGTTTTTAACTTGCGAAAGTTACCCCACAGCCAGTCGAGGACGTTAGCGCTGTCGGCTTTCAAGTATATCTTCTTGGCCGTGCTATTCGTCAATTTCCGGCTCTCTACCGTTTGCCTGGCACAGTGAGTACGCATTCATTTCTACCAATAATATCTACAAAATGGCTTCTTTGAGTTCGCGTGTTTCTGCCAGTTCTGCGACTCCGTCTCCAGTACTACCTCCTACGACTTCGCATCCTGTTCAAGCCCAAAGAGGTCAAAGCAAAGATTCTTGTCGACTGGGGCGAAGATCTATGTCCAATTGGCGCAAACCCCTTCGAGCTCATGAGCGTTCATCGTAGCTGGACAAGTACATTTTTATCCGAATCTCTCATGAGATATAAATTCACCTGACTTAAGGTGTGGATGACATCTATTACAATGGATACGTCAGAAATTCTAGTTACGCGAAGGTAGGGGTTCAGTACATCAAATAACACAATGATGACAACCTTTTTTTCAGGCCCTCGATGCTGCCCGCTTGAAACTGGTTCTGAAAGCTTTTCCTGCTTTTGCAAGGAGCGGCGGGTGTATGGCTCTGGGCTGTGCGTCAACTTTACTCCTCAGATTTCTCCACCATTATTCATTCCACATGTAGCTACTCACTTTCATTTCATTCGAAAAATACCGTTTCTGAGGAGCTACGAGATAAGACTCTCCATCGAGGCATGGGATCAGACTCGATGACGAATTCTGGGCAACCCGACCATGGTCTTCCTCTCAGAGCTGCCTATCGAAATGCTGTCGTTGGCATTCGGTATTTTCACCCGAGAACAGCAGACTCGACCAATCAGCCAATAAATATCTGCCGTTTCTTCCAAACATTTTATCAGATTCTGTTTTAGGTGTATCAGCGCTTTCAGATCAAATTTACCACTGCAACGAGCGCAGCTCAGTTTATCGATGCCGTTCAACCTGTCTGTCCTTGTAGACTGAATACACAGCTTCAGCCTCTTGTCACCTGCGTCCCTCCTGAGGCTATGACAGGCCTTATTGACGACATTTCCTGTCAAAATACTATGCTCACAGCAGGTCCACAAGCTCGGTCATCAATGGGTGGGACTCCATTTGAACTAACGCCAACTATACTTTTAGAAAATCTATCATCCTAATCTACTTTACCAGCATTCGCACCATCGACGCCTGTTAGATTCGCTCCTGTGGCTCTGAGCAGCAGTTCTACAAAAATAATATCTGTGGCTGCACCATCTCACGACGGCACCTTCGTTACATCTCCAGAAACACCTCGGATAATTGTCCCAAAGTTCAGCCAATGCCAAGCACCATCTAGCACCATTAACTCTACCGAATGCTGTTTACCTGATTCTTCCCAGCCATCCTCGTCTACTCTCAGTAGCTCAAACACGATGCCTCCGCCTCTGCCGCCTTCAGGCGTCACACGATCTCTTCAATCGGAAAGTCGACCATTAGAAGGTCGTGACTCGACTCGGGCCCAGCTTGTGGCATCGCTACATAACACTCTGGCCCTTCCCACGTTATCCCATGCAGAGCTAGAATCCATAGTAGAATAAGTCATCAGAGAGGGAGGTTTTGCCCAACTTGTAAGCGTTTTTGAAGTCATCAGATGAAAAAAACCATGACCTCAGATGGCGCTGCTAATTGGATCTTCCAACTTACTTCCTTGGACACCATGTGGAGAGTGAAGAGTTTTCTTGGTTAGCAATATGGTGGACGATAGCAATTTGTTGATTTGCCACAACTTATTTGAAAATCCGAGCGCTCTCTGTTCTAGTGTTACTGGCATCCATAAATTCGTGTCACATACAATGCCCAATGCCTATCTTGTTCCACAAACATGCATCACCAGTATGTCGAACAGAATACGTATGTGAGGGAAATGAAGAGAGCTTGAAAATCTAGTCCTCTCTGGTTAGATATATAACTGCAAGCGGGGGACTTCAGTAAGGTGGCACAAAAGATGCATGTTAGTGCAACCATCGCATTAGCCCGAGTGAACTGATTTTCCAAATCCACCCGCAACCGAGATCGAGCATGGTATTATTATTTAGATTCTGTTCTCTTCATTGTTGAAATTGTTTATGAAAAAAGGACACCCTAGAAATTCGAGAGACAGCCTCGCTGCTGTCACTGGCTTTGCAAAAGCCAACAAATTCCAACTCTGTAATTAGGTATGCTATACCTCGTTGCGCATCTTTGATGAGTTACAGTAAAGCATGGCAGGACATGGTTGCGTTGGTCGATTGTCAGGCAAACCTTAGTATCCAGCAGTAATATCTCGCATCAATATTGCAGCTCGTGGAGCTAACGAGAAGTTTTAAAACGTTTTCAATAATAATAATGACGTTTACATGGTACCATCTAGTCCAGCACTGACTGACAATTTACACCACGCAGCATCGACTTTATTCCAAAATGTCGAGCTCAAAGTCTACGGAAGGAGTAACCACGACGCAAGAAGCTTCGGGAAATTGGGGGTCCCCAGTCCAGTAACTGGGTCAATGCCAGGAAGGGCAGTGTATGCAGCTATACCACATCCTTGGTTTCCGCCCATGATGATATCATTAAAAACGCCGGCAAAGCTAGGCGAGTAGATCTTCATTATAACAGTTGGTAATAAAAATGTCACAGGGATTTGAGACAGACACTCACAGTTAGATTGATGAATCCTATCGTCAAGATGGATCCACTGACTGGGGAAGAGCAGGACGTTCCACAAATCAATTCATATGTATCATCAATGGCAACAACGAAGTTCTGCATACTGTTGGCATCAGCTAGTAGATCTTCAACAACGAGAACTTACGGTCCCATTGGCAGCAGTGTCAGGGAAACCACGGGACTGTGAAAGGAAATTGAGATTAGATGCTGTCATTTACAAACCATACTACTTGAGCAGCACGTACCGTTCCTGAGCGGTCCAGATATCGGGAGTAATCAGGCATCGCAAAGTAGTTGCTGAAACCACCGCCATAGTAGATGACCTGTCCACAGGCCCCTTCCGGCTCATAGACCGCCGAATTAGGGTTGGCCTGAGTAGCACCAACAGATGTGATGTAGGGGCAAGTTCCCACGAAACTGGGGTTGAAGATGGTGTTGTCCAGGGAATAGATTCCTATGAGAAATATTAGCATCTTGCCACAAGCATTCTGAGAAAACTCACCGTTAGACGTCAGGCAGTAACTGCCATTTTCAGCAACTCCATAGTCACCAGAGCTATAGAGGACAGTAATTCCCATCAAGCCAAGTTTAGCATACTCCGCACATTGACGGGCAGTATAGAGGGGCGTCAGATAAGCTTCGTTGTACGAACAAGATGTCGAGATAACATTAGTAGGCGCTGCGGTGCCGCAATCTTCGGGGGCCCTCGTAGCCTCCGCCGTATGGGTCAGGGTAAATGGCATCTTGAGTTGGATCGTCTCACCCTCAAAGGTGCAGTATGTGACTTCGATTGCGTCAAAGAAGTTGTTGAGAGAGGCAACTTCAGACATTGTCAGCAATGTACTAATACCACGTGAAAGCACTCATCCTATACCATATCTCCAGCCTGGTATAAGGTGACTGGCTGCGCGGCGGTGACGAGGTTCGCCGCGTACTCAAGGTAAAGATCAGATTCACCGTTGTACTCGAAGCCAGTGTATTCAGTTTGTGCATAGCCTGGTGGAAGGTTAACTGTCAGAATTCAAAGAGCCGTGATTCTAACGGACCTCCATATATTGATACCATCTTGGGTGCAACTCCAACAATGTCTGGGCCGAAAGTGCTTAGCAACATATCCAGGCCATTTTGCAGGTAGGCTTGTGGGGTGTACTCCACTGTTTGCAGAGTCAACTTCGTGTGCCTAATGCCATGTTGCATAATTTACCGATTCCATAGCTGTTCCTTTCCGCTGCCAGCGGCTCGTAAACCAACCATACAGAGCCCTCAAAAAAATTGGAGTGATTTGCACATCACAGTTTTCTAGTTGAGTCAGGGGACTTCGGACCTCTCCAGTGGTCTTTGGGTAAGTGCCCTGTCCTGGCTGTCCAACAGAGCGCGCGATCCCCTCAGTGGAATCGGAGCCAGAGCGCCTTGAGATCTTAGTATCAGTAGGAGTCACGAAGTCAACATGAGACTGGACATGCTCAGGCAAGTGGTATGAATCGCGCACTATATAACTGGCAAATTTCACGAAATAAGAAGATTGAGAATACTACTCACCACATGCTCTTGACCAGTTTCGTGACACGACAACAAAGGCGACGCTTCCCCGGTAAAGACAATAGCATTATCCAAGTGTTAGTTGACCAATCAACAGTAAAAACAAATAGAGAGTGGGACTAAGGAGTGGTTTAATGACAAAAACAAGTTACAAAAAACGATTTGTGAGATATACCGGAGACCAAAGAAAACGCGGGTGTGCAAGATACATGGTATTCAACCAAAGCAAAGACAAAGGATGACACGTGTAACAAGCCGAGTAATATTTCTTATTCGAAAACTTGAAAATAAGGTCCGTCACCAAAACCAGGGGATACCGAAAAAAGCAAACATAGAATAAAAAGCGAACACTTACTACAGTGACGAAAGTTCAACTTTTTCTTCCTCGGTACAAGCTCATAGCTAAGTACTTTGGGTAGCACAATTCGCCATGCAGCCGAGTACAGCACGCCTACGAACATGACAGCAATTCCGACAAGGCAGTACCTATACGACAAGCGAGGAATGAGAATACAGGACGAGTGGATAAGTGCTGGTGGAAAAAGCATACAGGTAATATGGTAGTGGTGGGGTGTTGCCGATGCCATTGGCTGGTTTCTGGAAGGGAGCAACGAGGACTGCGTGGAAGTTTGGTTGGGGAAAGAAAGTGTTTGAGCTGTAGATAAAAAACTCACGCAAGGAAGCAGCAGCCAAGAATAATACATCGACAGGCCACCATACTACATCATACGTATTAACGCATCACACAGAATATTTGCTCGCCCTTGAATGGTCGAACAGCATCCCGTCTCTTCCATCTCAGATAGAACAAAGCCTGGCGGCATCAATTGGAAGGAAACACTCGAGACGGAGATGACAGGGTTACGATGACAATAAAGAAATTAATAATCTGCTGTGGGTATCCTTCGATGTCCAAAATGAAGGGGTAAGCAATGTTTGGGAGAGGCGCGATGATGACGATAACCTACAAAACCAATCTCAGATTGATATCACAGTTCTAGGGTAGCACTTACAGAGGGTATCAAGTGGATTATCAATACCGGAAGTGGGGACTTCCCAGTGGTCCAATTTGAAGCCCAGAATTTGTTTCCGAATGGTAAGGGTATCCCTTCCTTTGCGAGCTCTATGATTGAGGTATGAGCTAGGTAGAATTATGATGCTTGGTATGACGAACCTTGGTTTACTCGTGCTGCCGAAAAAGTCTACATGAAAAGTTCTTGAGTCACATATTTCCATAGCATCCTATAACTTACCAAAGTGATAACATTCTACGGCCCATCATCAAACAGGGATTATGAGACAAAATGTATAGGACTCACTCCAATAGCGCTTTCATGAAGACAGCGAGTCAGAAAACCCTCGAACTCACGAAGTCGAGCTCACCTGCGGGCAATGAAAACTGATAGTGCGCGCTCCGCAACAGAACCAAAGACATTCCCGAAAAACAAAGCAGCGACAGTAACACCAGACTCATCAATCTCCGTCTATCGATACTATTCAGTATTTCGTTCATGAGGGAAATAAAAATAAGTTCTCGCCTTGATTACAGCCAAGAAATAAGCCACATTTGCAAGCAAGTACAAAATGGTGCATATACCAAGACCAAGCGGACCCGCGATCTTGAGCGTCCTCACTTATTTATGGACATCGTTCATCACGTAGTTCACGTTTGACCATCCTTCATATGCATACAGAACTTTAAAGGTAGCGGTTGCATACTGTCAAGACCATGGTCAGCACATAGGCGTTTAGGAATATCATTGAACATACGTCGTTGCTACTCGTGGAGCTCCCCGCAAATGCGTTTCTGAAATTATAGTATGGATTCGCGACGCGGGTTTTACCCGAGAACTACCCAGCCTATGACCACAACGAATACCAGAATTACGATCTTGAATATCGAGAGGAACTGGAAGGAAGGTGTTGAATATCATGATGATGTAAAAATGAAAGCTTGCATACGTTCATGATCAGTACGCCGGTCTTGGGGGTCAATCCATGTAGAAGGGTTACGAAGAATATGACTTGAGGCCATGAACGACCGTGAGATGCCAGTTAAGTAGATGACACCTCCAAGTGCAATTCCACGCTCATTCTAGCGACCTGCAGGTTGACAACCAAGATACTACACCTTATCAGTCGAGTCGTTTTATCAAGATCCAAAATACGCACTTGCTAGCAAAAACCTTGACGAAGCAGTTAAATTTCAATACCGAATACACACACAAAACAAGACACGACTGACAATACAATTGCTCGCAGTGAATCCAAGTAATATAGCGTTGGCAGCAAATACTATTGTGGCAAGGTACTTGGGCTTTCTGTAGACGGCCTCAAGGTATACATTCTCCCCGCCACTTTGGGGGAACACGGTGCCGAACTCGAGTCATATAAAGAGGCCACAGAAGCTAAGCAAGAAACCGAGGACCCAAAGCATGAGGGAAGCGTCGACTGAGCCCACGCCGGAGAGGATGGAGGATGGAGTTGAGAATATACCGGTGCCGATGATCTTTCCAACAATAAGGAGTGAAAAATGTTACACCAAGGTGACGACCCATGCCTCCGGCAGTATCTGAATCATGTCAGACGCGCAGGTTGAAGGAGTCATCAGTAGACTGGTGACCAGCCCGTCTATGAGGTCACGGGACAGCAAACCGTCCATAGACGGCAGCTGTGCCATGGGGAAGGGGAGGCTTACAAACGGTCTGACCGTTTCAAGGGCACGTGAGTTTGAGATCACGTGACACGTGTAATTTTGTCCGGCACAGGTGCTGGTATCGGCGTAGACTCACAGTCCATATTTTCAAATTATTTGATCCTTTTCATTACGAAGTGCCCATATGTCATGGTGAGTTTACTTTCCACGCACGCTTAGCGCTTAATGTTGACATCTTCATTAGCAAGTTCACAAGACCGTTCGAACTTCGAAACTCGAATGTTCCGATGACAGTAATCTCACTCCCGCTCCAGCAGCCCGAGCCACTCTATTGTCCCTCCTACTTTGCAAGACATCGAGGACTTCTTCCTTGACACTGCACTCATGAACGGAGTATTCTGGGTCCATTATACCAACCTGGCAAACTCAGGACCTATCAAACCTATATGATCCTCCCTCCCCGCCTGCGATCACTACTTTAGAAACTACAGATGACAAAGACCTTGGGTGAAGAAGATAGGGTGCAGTGTCCTCTGGTGGGTAAAATGTCCTCCATTTCATCACCCCCTTCTTGACTCACCTCTTAGCGCAACATCTGAGTCCTTTTCTTCACTCTGGCCCCAATTCAAATCCAGACGCAGATGGTGAAGGTGATGCAGATGCAGACGCGAAGTTGAGAGAAGTTGCTGCTGACTACCGCAGTGCGTCTTCGACTGGCATGAAGGAGGACACGGAAGTCGGGCAGTAAGTACATGTCCATTACAGCGGAGGCCAACAGAACTTGAAAAAACCCTTGAATGCTCTGGGCAATAGCGAGAAGATATTCCTGTATGTTGATGTGGCTTGCACTTCCTCAGTTGGTGCTCCCTTGTTATTTCTCGTCTTAGACCTCCGGTGATTTCGCTATGGACTACTGTCCAGTCGAATCTCTTTCTATCACCTAATGCAAACAATCTGTTCCTATGTTCTTTTCTATCTCATTTTTTGTATTTTTCTCCTGCTTGTGTTTCACGCAGTTCATCGCCAGTTCCATGCTACCTGTATCAATTCAACCACTCTGAATCCATATCGAGTCGATCAGTTCGTGCCCAATCAACAGGTCTGTGCTTCATCGATGCTGCGCATCACCCATATCCGATACTAGTTAAACGCCTCTCAGGTAACAAGAAACACGAAGACAGACCAACTACTAGGATTCATCCATAAACATTCCCAGGAACTTGCATCCGAACTCACTACAATAACACTGTAACTCGCCATGGATGAAGATATGGATTTTGATGCCAACACAGCACAGCCGACTCCCCAATTTCACTGTCAAAATTACTATGATGAAAGAAGGATGCTGTACGTGCCTGCAAGACTCTATACCAGCCGTCATGTTCACCCGTGCACAACCAGTGAATTCATGAGTCCGTGATATTGTAACTATGATAGCTATAGTCAGGTATAATTCTGCTCCTGCAAAATATGGGTATTTAGATGCCAAAAAAGATTACTTGTCGATACATAGACATGAACGTCTACAAATTTAGGGTACCCTGAGGTATTCATGGCAAGGGCACAACACAGCGACATGACCGTAAGCATACCATTGTAGTGTAATGGTGCCCCAAAAGTTGACTATTTTTATTTCTCTTATTTCAGGTGTTAACTCCAAGACCATATAAGAGTTTATCATGCAAAGTGTTCTTCGTCACGTGACATTGTCCATCACAGCCTAGAAGGGTCGGTAGGGTAATCATGTCCAATTTATTGCGCACTCACGTTGTCACTTATCGTCCTTTTGAATTACAAAGCTATATAAGGGTTTCCCGTGGAAAATTACTTTGGCACTGAGCTTCAAATCTAGAATAACATAGAGTTTGTGAATTCTTTTAGCATGGCACCATTATGGGCCAGTAAGAGATGATATGTAACTCGTGTCTACCTTGCAGAGTGTTCTCATCCACCCTTCTTTATATTCCAAACTATGTTGTGATTCAATGCAATATATCTAAGATAGATTTAGAGCAAACAATCAAATAATCTGTGCCAATCCTCAACATCTCAATTTGTCTTTTTGGGTGAGTTGTGTTCACCTTAGCTATGACTTGCAATTTCTGTCTGGAAGGGTGCTCCTTTCATCTGTTTCTGCATGAACTATCTTGTTGGTGATACAACTAGATGATTGGCCTGGGAATGGGTTTAATCAACTGCTAAAAAGATCCAATATTACACACCTTGCCACTCTTCCCATGTTCAACTATGCAATGATTTACTAGTATTTGAGAACGTCGACGACTTGAATGGCAGTGAAAGTGTTGTTAATAGTTTGTTTATCGATACGTCGAGAATCAGCTTACCTAATCACGCAAGTACATACAGGCACGTTAGAGTTACACACCTCAGTCCGTTACACTACGAGTACGAGACTGAGGTGAGACATTCATTTAATATTCTAATACTCTTATTGACTCTCGTAGTATACACTCGTTTATTCTAGGTTAGTTTATAGTCCGTTACACTACGAGTACGAGACTGAGTATACACTCGTTTATTCTAGTCTAGTCCATCCGTTCGCTCCCGCACGTCCTACTACGAAACAAAAGGTTATGAGCCCTGACTGAAGCTCAGTCAACAAATAGCCTAGTAGTGACTCTATACTACTCCTCGCACAATGTCCAACAATCCATCAATCTCGCAAGCTCAAAGTTCAAACTCGCAACCAACTGCCTCGTCAGCATCTAACTCCAGGAAAGCCATACAAGGCTCGAACCGCCTCTATGATATCCCGTCGTTAGAGAACGATGGTTCAAATTTTCAGAACTGGAAATTTAGAGCTAGGAAAGTACTCATCATACGAAAGCTCTGGGGTATTGTTGAAGGCTCAGAAGTCCAGCCATCTGCTTCTGACCCTGACGCGGTCCAAGATTGGCTAGAGAAGAACGATGAAGCACATGCACAGATCACGCTCACGCTAAAGGACGAACCTCTAAACGGAGTCCTACACACGGTGTTAGCATCTGATGCATGGACAAAATTGTGCGAGCGATATGAAGGAAAAGGAAAGCAGAGTATAGCCTACCTTATAGGCGAATTATTCCGCGGAACACTCTCGGACGAATCTCCTATGGAACCGCAACTTAACGCTATGCGACAGAAAGCTCTAGTGTTGAACTCACTTGGTCAAGCTCTAGACGACTCCCTGGTGGCCATAGCTATGGTCATATCCCTCCCATCTTCATACTCGACTCTCCGAACAATACTCATGTCGACGAGCGACAAGATCACAATTGAAGGCACCATTAGCCAAATTCTAGTCGAAGAAAAGTCGCGGCGAGGTCCTGAATCACAAACGGCCCTCGTAGCCAAGACTTCGGACAAGTCAAAGGAGAACTCGAGGACGGACAAGAAGAAGAAACCTGGCAACTGCAACTATTGCAAGAAGCCAGGTCATTGGGAGAGAGATTGTCGAAAGAAGAAAGCCGATAAGGCTAAGAGCAGTGACAAGGACAAGGATGACGAAAAGGACAAATCCAAGGCCGAGTTGTCAGCAAAAGTGGCACATGTAGTTGGAGATGACACACCATCACTACAGCTGTTCGTTGCACATGGACCGAAACACGAGTCACATCCAGCGGAGTGGATCGTGGACTCCGGTGCATCAGCGAGTATGTCGTGTCAACGAGACTGGTTCAAGACATTTCGCATGCTAGTTCCCACACAACGTGTCATAGTTGGGGATGGCCGGTCAATCGAAGCTACGGGGATTGGAAGCATAGAGTTAGAAGTCGAAATCGGAGATGCGCAAACTCGACGAACCGTTTTGCAAGACACATACTATGTTCCCGACCTAGATGGCAACCTGTTGTCAATCCCACGCTTAGCAAGCAAAGGATACGAAGCAATCTTTGGACAACGTACCTGCACAATAACTCGCAATGGCTCGATAGCAGCACTAGCAAAACGGCAACAGTCCCTATACATATTAAAGGGACGCACTTGCATTAGCGAAAGTGCTTACATTGTCGAAGGCCCAAGCCCGCTGCTGAATGCGGAAGAACCAATCACGGCTCTCGCAGCATGCACATACTCGTCGAAGGCAACGTTCGAGACCTGGCATAGACGCCTTGCCCATATCGCCCCCGAATCCGTGAAGAAACTGTTCGAAAAAGACATGGTCAGAGGGATGGAAGTCTCGGGATCAATCACTCATGAAAAGCAAGTTTGCAAGCCCTGCCTCGAAGGCAAGCAGGCACGCAAGCCCATCCCAGACGAATCCATGATTGAAAATCCCCGGGTCTTACACAGGACATATTCTGATGTCTGTGGACCCATGGAGACCACTTCACGAATGGGACACCGATACTTCGTTACATTCATTGATGCCTGCTCGCATCACGTCATGGTCAAACTTCTCAAAACGAAGGACGAAGCACTTGGACTCACGAAAGTATACTTCGAGCGAGCAGAGGCAGAAACAGGCGAATGCGCAAACTATTTTCGCAGTGATGGAGGTGGGGAATATGGCTCTGGTGACTTCCTAAAGTACCTCGAGTCAAAGGGCATTCATCATGAAAAAACGAATGCTTACACTCCACAAGAAAACGGAGTCGCCGAACGAATGAATCGAACCGTCGTCGAATCAGCGCGAGCCATGTTAAACGATGCTGGACTTCCGAAGAAGTACTGGGGTGATGCCATACTCTACACGGCCCACATACTCAACAGAGTGCCAACTCGTGCCCTGAAGAAGAATATAACACCACATGAGGCCTTTACTGGCAACAAACCGTCAGTAGCGCACTTGAGAATCTTTGGCTGCAAGGCACACGTGCACGTACCTGATGAGTGCTGTCAAAAGCTCGATGCAAAATCCTTCGAGTGCATCCATTTGGGGTATGCCGAACACCGTAAAGCCTATGTCTGTTTGCAGAGGTCCAGTGGGCGAGTAATAGAGTCGAGGGACATCGTGTTTGTTGAAGGGGATGATGAAGAGTCAAGCCGAGTGAAGATAAGTGTTGAAAACACTGAAATT